TTTCAGTCATCACAGATGATAAAAGAAGTGTCTGACATCCTCAAAACACACATCAAACTTATGTATCTAGGCTATTTCTCTTTCAAATGCACGATTCTCATGAGAATAACTGGGATGACAACAGCCATTGCCTGCAGTCAATTTACAACCTTAATTATTTTATTATTTTTTTTATTTTGATTTACAGCTTGATTCCACACCGTATTTTCAGTACAAGTGTGGAATTTTCAGCATGGATATCGGTAGCCCAAATTCAGGCCGACCATAGATATCGGGTGTGCGCCGGCAGGGGATCGAACCTCGGACCATGTGCATGGTCGGCGAGAGTCCTAACCACTGTGCCACCGACGCAGATCTGAAACAACTCACAAAAGCAATGCCGAAATGCTCTAAAACCCTAATAATGGACTGTTTATGCGATATTTCTTCAAAATGATGACTTTTTTATTAGTAATTCGTCTAGGCTCTCATGACAATTTTACGCATTACTACGAACACAATACACAAAAATATTGCATTTTTCGGCTACAGAAGCCTAAAACTAGTCAAATAGAATCTATTTTCACAATACTGAGCGGTTAGAACGTCTTTTTAGGCGTGAACGCGATAACCCATGCAATGCGCGAAAACACCTTATCATAGAACATAGCCTCACTCAGCGATCGTTCCATTCGCGCCTTCAATTGCCCGCCAATGGTTGCCAGTTCCAATAAAACAAACGTTCAATGTTCACTTCCATTGACATAGTCCCTTAGGAAAACCACCTGCTTCGGTCTGGGCGGCCGGGCAGTATCTCAGCCCTCACACAATATTGTCTGGCGCATCTTTCTTGGTGCCATATTGTACCAAGTTTTTCTGCGTTTAAATAAATAATAATAAAATTACTGAGTTGGCTGCTGAGACGATTGCATTTATATCAGCTTCCCAAACGTTTGGTCGAGCTGGGGTTTCGGGCCTTGCTGCCGTTGCTGTGAACTTGGAAGTGAACACAGCATGGTCACTTCTTCCTAAAAGGAGGAAGATGTTGTATGAGATCCACATCCTCACCGTGGCAGAACATCAGGTCCAGAGTTGAGGAGGAGTGCCGTGAGTCATAGCGAGTGGGCTTAACGATATGTTGGACTAGGGCTAACGATACACTAGATTCCAGCAGTTTATAATCAAAGGAGTTGACTGAGGATGGAGTTGTTAGGCTCGTCCAGTCAACTCTGGGGGCGTTGAAGTCGCCAACTACGAGACTTCGACATTTCGAGGTCCAGAAACCTAGCTTCTCTATCAGGAATTCTTCTGCACTGCAGTCAGGACTGCGGTACACAGCAATGACCTCTAGTCGCGGCGAAAACGAAGTGGAAGAAACTGACTCCACTTGGTTGGTGCCGAGAGGTAAGAAGCAAAATAAACGATGGAAAGAAACAGCAACCGAGTTCACCAACAAGGTCTCGACGGCTGTTAATACCAGCCAAACTCAGAAACCCACGGACTCTAGCTACAGTGTTATCATCTGAAATTTGGAGGAATCTAAGAACACAGATCCAGCTGCCCGACATGCAGATGATCTGAAGGCGGTTAGCTCCATAATCCGGGAAATACTTCCCGAAAAAACAATTGGAGTTCACGTAAGAAAAGCCATCAGGATCGGAAAACGAAACCCTGATGCTACGGAAACTTCTCGACGACTACTTAAGATAGTTTTAGGGAACGAAACAGAGAAAAGCACCATCCTCAACAACGCGTTCAAAATTAACGATAAAAGTTTAAAAATAAGGCCTGATTGGCCTTTAGAAGATAGAATCAAAAGAAGAGAAGCCGTGGCTGAACTAAAGGCCAGGCTAGAGAAAGGTGAAAAAGACCTCAAGTTATTGGGTTTTCGGGTGGTGAGGTCTCAGAAACCGATGCTGCCGAGACCTCTCTTCATAAGCCGGATGAACACGCAGGTGTCTCGGTGTGTTATACGAACGCGTGTAGTCTTAGGAATAAGCTCGCCTAATTAGGAGAATTATCTGAAAGACTACAACCTGATGTGATTGCTATCACTGAGACATGGTTGTTAGTGGGTGTAGACTTAACTCCACTCATACCTGGGTACATCTGCATTCGAGCAGATAGAGTAAGTAGTCGGAAAGGTGGCGGAGTTGCTCTATGCATCCGCGATGACATAGGGATTAGGTCAACGTTATCAGAAGCTCATGACAGCGGCACCAGTGAGGCTGCAAGTTGCGTTATTAATCTGAGCAAAGGCACTTCAACGATCGGAGTTATTTACAGAAGTCCTGCTAGCCAAGCTGATGACTTCGTTCTCAATCACTTGAGGGCTTGGGGTAGTAGAAATAGGTGTCTGGTTGTTGGCGGCTTTAATGCTCCCCACATTAAATGGGGGGGATTAAACTCCACTAGTTTGTATACCTGTTTCAATAGGGAGTTCACATTGACAGTGCTTGAATGTGCACTCGTGCAACATATGCATGTACCAACACGGTATCACCCGGAACATGATCCATCTACTCTAGACTTGATATTAACACACCAGAAGGAGGACGTTGGTGACATTAGGTGCCTTCCACCGCTTGGCAGCAGTGACCACATAGTCATTGCTTTTACGTTTAAGATTCATTCTCTCATACACAGGTCAAAATCTGCTCGTCCAAACATTTGGAAAGCGGATATACAAGGAATCCGGAACGCAGCAACTTCAGTTGACTGGTCAGTGGATACAAGTCCGACTGTCGAGGAAGCTTGGGTAGGATTTAGAAATACACTAGATTGTGTCACTTCACCTTTTATACCTTGGTACGCTCCTCGAAAGCTATCGCACAAGCCACCTTGGATTACTAGTGAAATAAGGAGGCTATTAAGACGGCGAAAGAACTTATGGGACCAATTTATTATGACAGGAAGGGAAAGTATCTAGAAAGACTACCGCAAAATTCGAAATCTCTGTAAGTATGCGATTAACGAGAGTCGTATAGAATATGAGAGACGACTTGTACTAGATAGTGTCCATTACCCAAAAAGGCTCTTCTCGTATATTAAACGTAGGACTAAAACTAGCAATGGTATACCGTCACTCATTAGCATTGGTGTAGAAACGGCTGGGTCAGACGAAGGAAGGGCTGAAAACCTCTCTGAATACTTCTGTGACGTCTTCTCGTCTGATAGTACCACCCAGGGATATGGCGAGGTCACTGCCATCGCCACTCAGATGCCCTCAATTGTGGTAGATCACACAAAAGTCCCCAAACTACTGTCTAAACTGAAGCCAGGTAAATCACCTGGGCCTGATGGACTTCACCCTGAACTGTGAATTTCCTTGGCGGATATAATACATATTCCGCTTGCGGAGATTTTCCAAATGTCACTGATCCAGGCTAAGCTACCCAGGGACTGGAAGGATGCCATTATAAGCCCTATATTCAAAGAGGGGGACAGGCAATTGGTATCTAACTACAGGCCGGTAAGTCTGACATGCATTATAGCAAAGGTAATGGAAACTATTATAAGGGATCAGCTATTAGCTTATGTTGAAACACATGGCCTACTGGCAGTTGAACAGCATGGATTCTGACCAGGACGATCCTGCTTGACAAACTTACTGTTAGCTAGGGAAGATTGGGTCGAGGCCAGAGATAAAAACCTTCTGTTAGACGTGGTTTTTATTGATCTTAGCAAGGCATTCGACAAAGTATCCCACTTAGGTCTCCTTAGTAAACTTCAAGGTTTCGGACTAGACCAGTGCCTATGTGAGTGGTTTAGGGATTACCTAATGGATAGAAGGCAGAAGGTTAGAGTTAACGGTGTACTATCGGGGTGGAAAGCAGTATCCAGTGGAGTGCCTCAGGGAACTGTATTAGGCCCCTTGCTATTCCTATTATATGTTAATGAGCTACCAGGGATTCTTACTTCATCTTCATTGTTATTTGCAGACGACATTAAGATATGGAAAACTACAAATAATAACGAGGATAGGTCGGCCCTACAAACTGATCTAGATAAATTAGCTGAGTGGTCGAACCTGCGGAGTTTGGAAGTGACTTCTAGGAAAAGCGCGGTAATGCACTTAGGTCAGAAGTCTTATACGTCGTACTCCCTAGGGGACACAGAACTACCTGATGTTAACGAACAGAAGGACCTAGGAATCGTTGTCAGCAATGATTTGAAAACAACTGCAAATTGCAATGCAGCCGCAGCTAAGGCTTTTCGAATGCTATGGGCACTCCGTAGGGCTTTCAAACGACTAGATGAGGGCATGTTCCAAATACTCTACGCAACATATGTCATGCCTCATCTAGAATACTGCGTAGAAGCGGCGGGTCCATGCTTCAAAAAGGAGGCATATATCCTGAAAAGAGTACAGAGAGTAGGAACGAAATTAGTTAGTGGTATCTCACACCTTCCTTATGATAAGAGGATGGAGTATTTAAATCTCTTTCCGTTATCATACCGAAGGAAGAGAGGCGACTTAATTTTAGCATACTGTATACTTAAGGGTGATTTAGGAACTGACCTTTCTGAGCTTTTCTCTCCTTCTAGGATACATTTACGGGGTCACCGCAAAAAGGTGCTCAAACCGAGGACGATTAAAATACGTGCAGAATTTAGATTCTCTCACAGAGTGGTCAACGACTGGAACTCCTTACCTGATTCAGTAGTAACAGCTCCATCGGTGAATGCTTTCAAAGAGAAGTTAGATCTCTGCAGAGATATATTTTGCAAGGATTAACACAGGCCACAAGAGCCTTCTATCCTTATCAACTGAATCTGAATCTGGATTAATGAGGTCAATGTCTTGGCCTATGAATTTAAGTCTGCAGCGTAGAAGTTCGCACGACTCACTTTCTTGAGCGACGCACTGCTCACAAGTTTAACGAATATTGGGAGCATTCACCTCAAAACCAATAAGTTAGTACAACGAAACCAACTGAGTGTACACGCAGCTGCAAGAAAGATGCTGGATGTTGGAAATGCTTGTTTTTCTTCGTCACGTAAACGCTGACCTTAAGCAGTGCGCCAAGTTCCTCATTGGAGTCCTATTGGCTAGACAGTTTTGTGATTGGTATGTCTGCGTTCTTGTCGTTAAGGAATTAACGTTTATTTATTAAGCTGTGCGTAATTTTGTTATTCTGGTGACTCTAAACCATAGCATACCAAAACGAAACTACCCCTAGCGACCAATCAGATGAGTCAGAATTAGAAATGCGTAATTTGAAATTAACGTCTATATACAAGTAATGTAATGTTAGAAAATGGTTACATGCGATGGTATTCTGGTTTAAGTTCCAATGAAGTCTAGTTTCTTATAGGTGTCAGCATAGTCAGGGTAAACCGATTTCTATACATAAGTTTGCAAACTTATGTCAACCCAAGCTCATAACTATTCTAAACTTAAGTTTAGAATAGTTATTCTAAGCTATTCTTCGATAATGTCTTTTTATGGTTGATGAAGATTTTATCTACCCAATATGTTCTGAAATAACACTGGAACAACGCTGATAAGTAGGTTCTTATCTACGATTTTGGTAGTTTGTCAGTCACCCGGTATATTATAGAGAAGGATTCTTCTACGCTGACCAACGTAGATTCAGAATTTACTCACTATAGAATGTTAGAATTATTTCAGAATTAGTGATATTTAGTTCAGCGAAACTTGTCAAGATCACCAATCCGTTCATTAGGTAGTGTCCTTTCGGGCTGCAATAGTTTAGTCACCCTACTTGTGATGTCCTCCAGTAACGTGGACCGTGTAGTCTTGACGCGGGTAGAAGTGAATGGTATAGTTTGCACGAGCTCGTCACAATTTTAACGGGTGTACAAGAGTCATTGCGGAGTGTGATCAACTCCTTATACAGTTTTTTTTACATAAATATCAGTAAGACTTCATTATCTTACGTCATGTTTAATGATTACTGTGAATAAAATAACACGAGGCATTTTTTGCATGAAGGATGAACTGACTAAATGAAGTTATGGGACTTTGTGAGTCTCAGACCTAAACTTGGATGTATTTTGGTGTGGATGCGGCGGAGGTTTTGCTGAAAATGTCTTTTAAAGCATATTCCTCATCCATTGGAATTTTCCTCCATTGTCTGAGCCTTCGAATACTCTTCAGCATCATCTGTGCACTGAGCACTTTACGAAGCGTGCCTAGGGTATAACACATCACATCGACTCTGTAATCGCTGGTATAACAACTCTATTCCTGTTATGATGAGGTGTTTCGATTGAACCTTAATCCTATCTGACTCTTATTACTACTAATTGTGGTGTTGTTTTATTCCTATAGGGATACTCTGGTTTCTATGTTGCAAGTAATTTGTTGGGGTTTATTTTAAGGCACTTTCCAAATGAGAAATTCTCTCTCGATCGTGAAAAAATTGGTGATTATTATATTTATTCAAACAAGGTTCTTTTCTTTCGCCACCTAAAGTGTCTTTAACGCAATTGGTGGTTTCGTGGGCACCGATGCATCTGTTCTTTAATGTTGCCAGGACCAGTCCACCTGAATTCGAATAAGGCGAGGAAGTGTTCATTATTTCGTCAGCAATGGAGTTGGGCTAAAATTAGTACCTCAGATGGATATTCAAAGACGTCAAACGAAGACTTGCCTTGGGCTCTCATATGATTGTGGTTGTTTCTGTAGTTTGGATATTACACTAGTGGTTATTTGAGTCATACCTGATGTTTACTAAAGAATTCTGGAGCTAGTCGACCATGGATGTTTAGTATCGGTTGTTGTATGATGACCTCTCGAGTGAGGTCTAAGAGAGCAAAAAATTCTGTGGGTCAAGGTATTTTCAAATATAAATTAAATCGAAATCAAAACTATCGTATTGTAGCTTTCTGGTTATCATATGTAAAACTAGTACAAAATGTGATGGGTGGGAGTATGGCTTTAGCAGTATGTATCACTTTCAAAGTCTTCGAAATTCGACTGGTCTTGATATCCTTGTTTTTCCTCCTTGTCGCTTCGGCACTGTCTTGTCCGCATATCATTTCTCTCTCTGCAATCCTGATGTGTTGCAAAATAAATACATGTATCCTTGCATGAGATACTACGCCTTGTATGTTTTACGGTTGTCTAATAGAATGAAGCATAGATTCTGTATTCCGTAAATTTTATCGCGTCACTTCTTGACTTCGATATTATTTGGCATGACCTCCCCTTCTTCTTACTTTTCATACAGTTGGAATACTCCAGTTACTTATGACTATGGCAACGAGTCCAAAAGAACTTTTGTCAAGTGTGTCCAATGCTTATTGTAAGTTATAAACTCAAGATTTTTCATTTTTGTATTATTTGAGACCCTAATGATCTTCACTCTTACGAACAATGGGTAACTTACATCAACAAAATGGAAGAGAAAGTTAGATCAGTGGGATTAGATGAAGATATTCCTAAAGTTCTTTTAGGAGTATATGAAGACGCTGTGAACGTAAGTTAGTGTTAAACGTTAATATGTTGTTTCTTTTCCAGAAATTAAAAACTGACTGGACTAATGAGACGTTCACCATAATTTTTTTCCGAAGAGCGGTTCTCGATGTGTTCGAGTAAGCTGTTTTACTGCAGTTAACATTTTCCTAGAAATGGTAGAGACAGTTTCGCGTATCTTACTTCATGTGCTCTTTATGGATGGAAAAATGTTCACTTAATTGTAGGCCTAGCTCATCAGTATTGCATGAATGGTATGTCCCAAACTACTTTAGTAATTAAGTGTTTTTCAGGTGATAAAGTCAAAGCAAAATGGGTATTAAATGCCTTAAAGAAGCGTTATGATAGTAGTGGAGTAGAATTACTACGAAAAGCAGAGAATTTAGTGGACAACGATGGCGACTTCAAGCCATTAGTGGGTCCATTCTACTACTTACCATATTCTAAACCTCGGGGTAGACATTTTTGTATAAGCCACTAATCGATTCACCTCAATAGATATAAATGCTGAATTGAGTCCAGTTAAACCTTCTACGACATCAGAAGTGATTAGTTCCAATGGGTAGGTGTTTTTCAATTATTGTCTATGTGTATAAAGTTATTTGCTGATAATATCTTCTGGTAGATGGATTCATTGTTGTGTGGTAACTATCCTTATGATTGTAGGCACATGTATTATTGTCCCATACGTTTTAAGTACAGCACTCAGTACAGTAGAGATTATTTGTCAAGGTTTATGATCAACTTTTTGTAACACTTAGTTTATGATATTAATCATAAGGTAGAAAGTAGTCCATGGTATATGAAGCCAACATACTTGAAGATAGTATAATCCGCATTCTCTAAGTCCATAAGTCTGTGTCTTAGTAAGAAAGTCATCACTTCGGATGGCAATTCTTCAGAGACCCTAACACAACTTTGTGAGTTCGAGTATACTGCCTTGATTAGTAGAAAATACTTTCTGGACACTCCCTTCATTGCAAAACATTTTTTTAGTTATAGCTTGAAACCGCACAGTATTTTTGGTACAAGTATGGAACTTTCAGCGTGTGATATCGGTAGTCCAAATTTTGCAGGCCAACCATAGATATCAAGTGTGCGTCGGCAGCACCTCTTGGTTGACGGGCAAGATGAGCGTGGTTGTAGGTCAGTTGAGTCGCTCCTGGAAATATTCCCTCCAACGTTCCGGTTGTGTCTTTGGTACTAATTAGACACTTCTTTTCCCGGAGTTTGTCTCACTTACCATCTGTCCTTTTGTAACTTGTTTCTCTGATAATTTAAAATAGTTGTCTGTCTCCGGCGCCTTCTCCATCTCTTTCACTTTTGTCACCTACCACTGTTCTCACTGTCGTTGCGAAGACTTGGTCAGTTTGTATCCAAGCAGCTTTCGCTTCTCATCATGTTTGCATCCTCCATAGAATCATTATTCTTGTGTCGATCAATTTGGCTGAAGCAGGAGAAAGCCTCTGGAATATACTTACCCCTTTGGTCTAACGTTATCAACAGCCTTTACTTCTGTTTCTTCGGTTGATTGCATATTACACTAGGTTTCCTCAGTGCGAGTGTTACTGTCAATCTCGGATACATGTTTAGTTATATCTCCTTTAAACAGAAATTTAGTGTTCTCATCAAGTCGGTGTTGCAGCGGCTTCATCGCAGTCCGTTCAGTCGCAGGATGGTTATAACAGTGGGAGAAAAGCAAGTTTTATGTCCTCATGGAAGTGTGTAGGCGGATGTTAGTTCCTGGTTGCTGACACGACTGAAGTTGATTTCTTCTTGGTGTACACGATACAGAAGCAGCATTATTGTTGCGTGACCTCAGAGTCCAGGGGCCAACTGGTTGAGGCGAGTCACTTATGTCTTGTTCAAGTTGGTTCTTAGAGTTGTGTCCGCATGAGTATCTTACTGCCGTCTATGGACCACCGCCGAAAGGCCACTTGGGATGTATAATTTCGTAAGCCCCCTTTTCAGAGCAGAGAAACATCATACCTCACCTACTGGTCATCTGAGGGAAATAAATTACTGCTGTTACATGCCTATTTACCAGTCAGTCAGTAGGAGTGCTTTTCCTGTGTAGAACTTTTAATTGTGCAATTAATTGCACACTGTCTTCTATGCTGTTATCCCTTAATCAATTAATTAATTAATATGCACGTATTAGCTACCCTACGACTGGTGTGTTCGTCCTACTTCACCGTTACACGTTAGTCTGTGTCATTAATTAAAGTCAATTACTTTGTGATGTACACTGGTGGGACATTGATATCAGGAATAAAGGATTTGTGAAGGCTGTAAGTCCGAAACTATTACTATCTTTGTAGGACCACCTGACAATACTAATCTATTCAGAGGCTAACTGTAGGGTATAATATCAAGAAAGTATGTTGGTTGATGTATATTTCCAAACCTTTTCCTCCTTTGACGAATGATCCACTATTGCATGTACCTATCGACACTATGAGTCATCACACTGGGATATGTAAAGTAGGAGTAGGCTTTGAAAAAGTCAAAGAATGTCTAGGTGAATGCATAGCAGCGACGGTTCATGAAGTCAGGTGATAGGTTAGGTGGTGTGAGTGGGTAACGCGAGCGAAATCATTCTTCATATCCGTCAGGTTAAACATTGCACTTAATATGGAAGATATTTATATATAGAGTTTGTTCAGTGATCTGAAAAGACTGTCAATCTGTGGGATTCTCGAAATTTTCTGTTGTGTTCACCCACCTTTCCTCATTCTGATTTGCACTACTGTCCATTTTAGTTCTCCTTTGTCTGTGGCCTACTCCAACCTTGTAGATGATGAGTGAGTGGTAATGGAGAAGTGACTGTTCTACTGAATTTGCAGTAGACTGAGGTGTGTCTTACTTGATTGGATGGGTCACTGTGTTCTGCAATGGAGACGTCAAGAAAAGTGGTCGTTGTACTAACTGTTTTATTTTTCCTCTATTCTCGAAACAGTGAAAATGCATCAATTGTCCGTTTGACTGCGGAAACGGATCGAAAAATGCTAATTAGCGAATTCAAGGTAAGTAAGCAGTGAAGAGTTTACTTGACCAATTTGTTGTTTTTGTTTTTGTTGAAGGAAGACAAATCTGTACTAGTCGTCGTGTTGTGGAGGAGGAACCCACCATATCTGTCGTCGTGAGTACATTCAATTTTCCTAGAAGTATAATTGTGCTGAGGATGATGTTGGATGACGATGCTTAATAAGATATAGAATAATCAGTTGGAATTCAGTTGGCCGGTTGCGAGCTATGAGTCACACTTATTGCTTATGAGCTGATGGCAATACTACCTAGCCAGTTTCTCAAGCTGTGATGCGAATTAGGTGGAGTGGGATTCGAACTCTAGACCTATTGGCTGGAAGTCGAAAGCTTAAACCGATGAGCCACTCACTCGATCAATAACACTGTAATAGTCAAATCAGATTTCTACGTGTACACTGAATAAACTCAAACTGGTGATTTTGTTGTTTTTCTTTTCAATGAAGTCAAGATACAGACTGATAATCTAAGTGTTGTCCTGCAGAAAAGCCGGATGATTATCAGTGGCGAATCACTTACAGGTTTCAGTGGACATTGTGTTTTATCCGTCTGTCTGTCTAACATAATTATATACTTGTTATGCTGTGAAGCAACTACCTCATTTCGAGGTATGCAGTCACATTCCATTGATGCACATCTGTCCCACACTAATTTGTCAAGCAGGCAGACGACCCGGGGACACTAGTATCTTTGGCACCGTATTGGTCAAATGAATTCTGTTGTTGTTATCACAAGGGAAATTATCTCTGTGCTAAGTGAACATGGCACCAGGTGTTTCCAAAATACAATGTGGACTAACATGCGTGGACTGATGATGTAAAGGATTGTCTAGTTGATTGTTGTGTGCGTCCAATCATCACACTTAAGTGCAGATGTTCAATTGTAAAGATGTGAGTAGGCTAAAACTAACGGCCATCATCCATCGATCGATTGTCTTGGAGTTTGATTTTCACTCCTTCTAAATTTCACCGGGAGATTACAGATGCAGAATGTACGATGAGTATGATTTATTCTGGCCAACTGGGGTTTAGTCATGTAGTGGACTTCATTTTGTAGAGCCTAACACTGTGTCTGCCCCAAGACTACAGAAACTGACTGTCTGGCTGCATCGTGTATCTGACGCATTTTCTACATTGATTAGATGACGGAAAGTGAATGACTACACACAACATGGAATCCGTAGTCCTAGGTGTCGAAGTTTCGGCTTAACTCCTGGTTTCTGATTTGTTGTAAAGCTGGGACTTTAAAGTTGAGCTGACTTTAACTTTATTGCTGATTATTGATAGGTGTTAGCGGAGAAAAGAGAAATTGTGAAATTGTTTGTTGGAAGAAAACATGAGTGGACTACTCGTGCTAGATAACCGTTGACCGCTATCTACTCTATCCGAACAACAGTACAGTTTCAGAACTCTATAACATTGTTACATTGATCGGATAGTTGCTGTCAGCCTTACCATTACCTACCCGTCTAGTAGGTAGGTAGGTAGATGGTCATCAAGGAAGAACCGTCCTCCTAACCAGCATTGACATAAGCAAGCCTAGCCATCGTGTCGACACAACACCCCCTATCTCTACTAGTCATCATACACTTGTCAACAAATGACAGTAAGAGCTGGACATTTCTGTAGTAAATAAGGAGAGATGTGAAGCACTATTTTATGCATGTAGTTGCTATCTAAAAACTAACAATTTTATTGACACATCTTTAGAAACATTCATTTTATCACAATGAGAATGTACTGTATGTGTGTGTGTGCGTTTTGGATATCTTGTGAATGAAATCGCTGACAACTCGTACTGGTAATGTGGTATAATAGTTGACAAAACACTTCCGTGCATGGCACTACGTTAGTTGTTTCTTTTTCTTTCACTTTTGTATAGGATTCAACGAACTGTACATCACTTTACACTCCACCAGAGCTTATTCAAATCGATATGCAAGGTTCAGGTAAAATTGTCTTTTCAGTATGTGTAGAGTATTTTCCACTAGAAGATTCACTCAGGAATATTTGCGATTGTCTTTTATTTTTCTGTAGAATCTCATCACAATCATACATATATGAAAGTGGACCTGAAACCAAGAGATTTATAATATTATTATTGTTCCCCTTGGTTGCATGTGGAACACAGGGCGTCAGATGGACATTTCGATTTCACCCAGGGCTATCTGGAGTCCTTACCAGCTGTCTGCACGATTTCCCCCAAATTTTCATTTCCTCCTGACACACGATCTCCCACATGCCACTTTTAGACATCGAACTTGTCTTTCTCCAGTTGAATTCCATCAAGTAGTCATACTGGTTCAGTGCAGGTCCAATACATCCCAATTCCCCTCTGCATATTGTCAGGTAGGGCAAGGGAGTTGTTGGCTGGTTCGTTGTCACAGTTCCTTATACTATCTGTCCATTTTATCTTCAGTAGGGAGCTAGCGAATACAGCTGTTGATCGAAAGTCTGTTGGGAAATGCTTCTTGAGCTGTGTCGTGTCTCCGAACCATATAGAAGTACTGACTAACTTGACATTAGTGTTGAAAATCCGGATCTTGTTGGTTATGCTGAATGTTGTAGGTTTCCACACAGATTTCAGAGTAATGAGCGGTTTGTCTTGCTTTTTCGATCCCGCTTTTCACATTCTCATCTGTGTCATCTATGCTGGAGAGGTGAGTGGAAGAGGTGACTTTTCTTTAAACTCCTCCCGTTGATGATGATTAGAGTTTGTTGTTGGTTCGATTCCTTCACCACCTCTGTCTCCCTAATGTAGACATAAATTCCTGTCTTTACTGCCTTTTCTGCCAAGTTGTTGGTTTTCACCTGTAGATCATCTAGTTTTTAGTGACATTAGACATGCGTGATGTCCATATCTTCCGAAGTTTTCTCATCGGTCTTGTCTTACTCCAGTGTTCACTTCGGAGGTTTCGCTGAGCTTTATGTTGTGAATCACTTGACATGTGTCATCTTCATACAGCTATGCATTCGATGAGGTTAAAAGATGTTTACAGCACTGCACTCCGTAGCGTTGAAGCAGATTCCGAATCACTTCGGATCAACGCTCTTGAAGGCCTTATCAAAGTCGATGAAGTTGGGGTCGAGATTTGACTGCCATCATATGGCGTATTCATTGATAGTGGTGATGACGGTGATGATGATGATGATGCATAGCGGTGCGATTTGATGGCCACGTGATTTGATCTTCCTTCATCCCGCTTGTTCCGGATGGAGTTTTATATTCATAGCATCTTGTAAAATCTCCTCAGGATGGAATAATTTGATATTTTGTTTGAATTAGATAGAAGCATGATTCCGCGCCAGTTCTTTCAAAGCCTCAAGTCTCCCTCATTTGAAAGTCTAAGAAGGTAGAATAACTTCTAGTCAGTAGACGCCTTTCCTTCCTTCGAAGCCTTCTGCAGTAGTGGTGTCAGGGGTGTTCTCTGATGTGTCTTGGCGCATTTTCAGTGCTTGTGGGAGAACTCCGTGTAGTTCTGCACCACGAGATACAGCCGACAGAATAATTTGGAACAAAAAATCAGATTATTGACTGTGCAAACATGCAAGCTCAGTTATATATAGAGGACATGGAAACGAGTGTTTGTCACTTTATATCACGTTCAGAGTTTGATGAAAAACCAGAGATTTCAGCACAGTATTCACCATCGATTTCAAGTTGTATTTGATGGAGTCTCGAGCTACTGAATCTCGTCCTTGGTTTGGTGCTTGGTGACTGAATTCTGTTAGTGTAGTTTGCAATGTGGTCACCAAGGTAGGCGGATCACCATTGTTATGCACCCTGAGATCATGATAGATGGTCGGTGATCATCTGGATGCCCTGTTTGGTGCTTGCTGATGAGTGCCAGTAAGCACGAAGCCTATGTAGACGGTTTCCTGCCAATTACCATCAAACATGTAACATCAAAGTCGTGAATTCTTTGTCATTCACGTTTGTTTTCCACATAGAGCTCCGATTAGTTTAAGCGAATAGCGAATATAGCACATTTTCAGTGCGTCGATTGTTCAGTGGTATAACACTCACCAACCACTCACGTGGTCCGAGGATCTATCCCTGGCTGACGAACTCCTAAACCTTGTTAGTCAGATAGCAAGGCTTGTAAAGAGGGAATGTTGGGTATGAGGCTGGCAACCCCACCCCGTCAAAATAAAATAATGGCCACTGCTACGGAATCTTCAAAGTTCTAGCTTGAAGCCCTATGTTCCACTGGGAGCGTAAAGCAATAAAATAAATAATAAGCACATTTTTAATGTACTATATACATGTATATAATATTTGTTGATACCATAGCCGAAAATCCAGGACGAAATTCGTCTTTAGAACCGTGTTCTTCGTCCACTGTTTCAATGTCTGTGGGACTTGAGGAACGTTCACCTCTCCATGGTTGCGTAAGTTGAGTTGAGTTGTCTTGAATTGATTTTTGTTTTGTTCTGATAATATAATATTCTTGTTGATTAGATTCCCAATAGAACATGATTTTGGTGAACTTCCCCTTTTTGTGATCAGCCACTGTATTGCACAGTTTTTAAAAAAATCTAGTTAAAACTAAGCTAATGTAATCACCATTGTTTGTGAATAATGATGAATGTGCCTCTATGCGTGTGTGAATAATGAAGGAAGAACTTGTATTTTGAGAATGCCAATGAATAATGAGATAACTTCATGCGTATACTTTTTACTTAACTGACAGTTAAAACGTATGACAACGAATAAGAAGTTGGAATTCATGTGGTGTCGCTTGAATTGTGTCCCACTGGTTCTTCATGGTCTATGAGCTTGCTCACGTTGTATAACCGGAAGTTGCTGGGTTCGAACCCTGGCGATGGGTACGTACTGATGAGGTGTCCCGAAGTAGGACGACAGAACCAGCTGTCCCGTACTCCCATGTGGTTCTCCAATGGTCCTCTAATCGATGTAATCAGCTCATGATGAAATCCAATAAGTAAGAACTTGAACCGTTAGTTGATGGATGGAAATACTCAAAATGATGAAATAAAATGCTACTCAACATCCACTTGCACTTCGATGCAGTGGGCTATGAGTCATAAGCCGTGGTAGGTGGGTGCAACGGTGTTCGAGCCCTTCGACCAACTGTGATTGGAAGTTGAGCACTTAAACCGGTGGGCTACGGTTACATATACAAACGGGTATAGTGAAATAGCTGTATAATAATAATAATAATATGATTTCTTACACTGCTAATATTTTCTCACCTATTTTTGACAGTTATAACTACATAAACCAACCATATTGAAAGCCTGTTAAACAATTTTTCGTAGAATTTTTATTATATAAATAAATGAAATAAAAATTCACGGTGATGTTGGTAAAAGATAACCATTGAAAGCCGGTAGAGATTACTGTACAGCTTCGGAACTGACGAACAGAGTACGCACTCATGGCCCCACTGAGGGACGTACTCATGAACTTTCAGGTTAACATGTGAATCATTAGGACAATAGTGGGAAGGAGCGACCAGCGGAGTTCACCAATTCGAATGTGAGGTCAAATAATCCCTTCTGATATTGGCCAGTGGTTTTTCTACATATCGGATATATATATATATATATATATATATATATATATATACAAATAAACTCTCCGGTAATACTCAGTTGGTGGTACCTAGTTGTTCTTTTCGTAGAAATTACTCAAATAGTTTTAGATATCTTCCATTATTACGGCAGAATACTAGTATTTGCTAGTGTTTGTCACCACCTCAGATCATAACTCTCCCTAGACTCTCACTTAGATGACTGCATGAGTACGAGTAGAGTGCCTTGATCAGTGCGATATGTTTTCTCGGCATTCCCTTTACAGCCAAGCATCTCCAGAGTACCTCTCGGTCGACAGAATCGAATACCGCCTTTAGGTCAAGAAGAAATATAACGGCTGTTGTACACCGATAAGTATGCGTATGTTCCAGAATCTGTCGAAGGGTGAAGATATGATGGATACACCCATCCTCTTCCTGGTCTAAAGCCTGCCTGGTTGTTTCGTGCTTTTCCCTCCCGAATACATCTTAGTCTGCGCATGATTATTGACCCTAGAAGTTTAGATACGATATTAGTCCAGCTGTGATTAGTCCCTGTGATTTTCACAGGAAGATTTGTCTCCCTTCTTGTATATCGGGATAATCAATGATTTACATCAGCCCAACAGGAGTACCTCTGATTCCCAGACGCTGCCTAATAGCTAAGTTAACGCAGACAGTAAACTGTCTCCACCGTCCTTGAACACCTCTGGAGTCATTCCATCAGGTCCCTATGCTTTGCCTCCTTTCAGACTAGTGAAAGCTCTTGTAACCTCAGTTAGGGACGGAGGACCTGTGTGTTTATATCCCATTCAGGGAGGTGTTTGATGCTGGGTACGTTGAGTGTGGATGTAGGTCGATTAAATTGCTCCTCAAATTGTTCTTACCAGTGCTCCAGTCGTCCATCCTGGGAGCTAATTCTGGTGCGACTTTTCTGAGAGATTGTTCCAGTTATCACTGCTACACATAATTCTGTGAATTCTCATCATCCTAGTAAACAAGAGAATCTAAAGCGATAAGGGAAGCGATCGAATTCTTGTTAGACGTATCTCCCCTCTGCCTAGATACTACTGATCAGGAGATTTAAGAGTTATTCACAGTATCACTAATTTGTAGTCAGGTATGAGTATTATTTATCTAATTTCTGCGCATCATCTCAGGTATGTAAAATGGTTGCTATGCTGTGCTATGCAATCCTAATTGTAAATTGACGAAAATACCATTTAGCATTAATTGATTGATTGATTCCCTTTTGGTTATTATCAGTGACTTCCATGTTATCTTTTCTGAAGAGAATAGCACGCGTGCTGACTTTGTCGTCAGTGATAATATGTATTCATCATTTCATTCTGCCGTTTAGGATGGATTTGGAACTGGGGAACACTACCATTCTGTAGGTGTACAAACCGATTTAGAAGATGCAGAGAAGAATGAAGTGATAGTTGGAGGTGAATTCTATCGAATAATTGGTAGATTAGGTGAGGGCGGTTCATCTGTGGTAAGTAGTTTTCTACTTGTGCATATCACTTTGAATATTTCGCCTTTTTGTGTGTTGTGTTCATCTCACTCTGGTTGTCTAACATGTATGTGATTCACTGAGCTATAGGTATCATCGTGACTTAGTGTTGTTTGTTTCCTCTCCTAGACATCATTCTCCGTGATAATAATTTCTTCTGATTTGGTAGCGAGCTTGTACTGAATGACTTTGTTTTAGGTGCTTGCGTTTCATATACATGTCAATAATGATAACGATGATGGTATCTCAGAAAGGGGGTAGATGAGTTTCTTCAAGATTGAAGATGCGCCTTGCTGACTGGTGAGTGAGTGCCTGCCAACAAGCACGTCACCTAGGCCTAAAGAGGGCTTCTAGCCAATCGCCCGAATCATCTAGCCTAACAATTGCCTATCTTATACTGATTATGATTATTATTATTATTGTTGCCTTGAGTTCCGCATGGGAAGTGGGGTTATAGAAGCACCTCTGTGTTTCACTCGATTCACTGAGATTTCCTTTTCATCTGGCTCCACGATTACTCATATAGGCTTCCATCTCCTCATCACACAAGATCTCCAATGATGTCACCCTTGAACCAACTAGGTCGAACTATTCGTTTCCCATTCAAGTTCTTCATCTATCTCCTCTGTGCATTTCGAATGTGCGTCGGTGGCACAGTGGTTAGGACTCTCGCCGACCATGCACATGGTCCGGGGTTCGATCCGCTGCCGACGCACACCCGATATCTATGGTCGGCCTGGAAAATTTGGGCTACCGATATCCATGCTGAAAATTCCACACTTGTACTGAAAATACGGTGTGGCATCAAGCTGTAACCAAAAAATGGGTGTGCATTTCCTTTTGTGTATATTTGTGTTAATTGGTTGGTTCGTTGTAACAGGTCCACTTCGTTGTTGCTTTTCCTTTCCGGTTGACAATCTAAACTACAGTGTGGAGTGAAGGCGGTTGTTGAAGGAAGTCGTCCGTAGAATAAACCTCTTGGGAATTTCTGTTTTGTTCTCTGTAACTGTATAGCATTCAAGACTTCTACTTGAATTGAATCTCCTACGTCTTCACAAATATTTTCCTTTTTCAGGTGTATTCAGCTTTGGATGGCAATTTCAATCCTTGGGCAATTAAAGTAGTCAGATTGAAGCATAGTACTCCGAAGGAGTGTGTCACTTCCTACCTACACGAGATTGAAATGCTCAAACGTTTCCAGAAAAGCGATAGGATTATCCGATTGCGAACATAGTAAGTATTGAAAGTTTTTATTTTCCTTACTAAAGAGGATGAGGAGAAGGACAGGGAAGCACTTCGGGACGAATGTAACTTCGTCTCTGTACGTCTTTAACGTTATTATTCTTATTATTGTTTATAATTTCATGTATCACTGCGTATAACCTTAGTTCGTTTTTATTCCTCGTCTATTTTACTGTAAATCCACAGTTGCATTGAGTTTAGGCTGTTGCATCACTGAGTGCATTGCTTCTTTATTATCACACTCTTCGAATCAGCACACTTGAACAAGATATCAAAGAGAGAGAAGGAGATCCAAGTGATGCCCTAACGGAAAAACAGAGGCTATGTATAGTTTTTGTGTGATAGTGAAGCCTAAGAGACCAGTGAAAAGCGATAACCATCAGCATCGTGAAGACCACGACTGGAATGAAAAACGCACGCCTTCCTGAGTGAGTCGCTCAGACTTGATGGATTGCCACGCCATGCTCTTCGTTGACTCTGCATCTTTGGTTATTTGTTTTCTTCCAACAGCCAATCACTCAGTTCACATTCCGAAGCGGTGGTAGTAACTCACATCCTAGTGGGTGGTATTCATCCATGAGCTGACTTGAAACAAATCGAATCCCTGTGAACTAACTCTTGAAAATTAGTCTGATGCTCACTAGTTAAGTGACTGACTGACTGAGTAAAGGACGAGGTTGCTTGGAATTCCACTGCATAGAAATGTGGCCTGAGACTACTTTTTAGTGAGGAGTTCAACACTCAGAATGTGAAGGACGAAACTACAAAGGACACTTTCATTGCTACCATCAGAGCAAAGTCGGAGACACTGCGTAGCATGACTGAGGAAACCTGTGGTAAGGAGTGAACACTGGGACTCTCTGAAATCGATACTGAAGGGAACCTGTGCAGCTAGCTGTTTTAGGGCGCAAGAAGATGCAACAGTGGGAATGGGTTTCTACGAACTCATGGAAACTGATAATGGAGAGGGACGGTGAATCAGAAGGTGAACCGCTTCAAAGATGGATAATAGAAAGGGAAGCAGAGTTCAATATAGAACACACTGAATAAAGAAGTGAAGACAATTCTACAGTTTAAACAGAAGCCAAACAGACTGCTGGTATAAGAGACGTCAGAACATTGTATGAGATAACTAGGTCTCTGGATCTGGAAAGAGACCAATGAAAGATGATGATGGAAATCGTTTCACGAAAGAGGAGAAGCAGAAGAAACATTTAGTTGATCACTTGAAAGGATTCTTGAATCGATCACCACCTTCAATTCATCCAGAAATACCACTAACAGCCAACACAGAATTGCCTGTGAAAACCAGCAGCTGTGAATGCCGTAAAGTTACTAAAAGCTTTGAAGGTGACAGAACGTGACGCAGTTTCTCCTGAGGCATAGAAAATGAATACTCAGACCTCAGCGAATATACTCAAAACACTCGGAAAGTTTGGAAGGAAGATAGCGCAAGTAGTGATCGGAAGGAAGGTAACCTTTTTAGACTGCCAAGGAAAGGCGACTTAAGTCTTTGCAGAAGCTGGTGCGGTATCATACTCCTGTCCACTTCATACAAAGTATTGATTCACGTTATTCTGGAGAGACCGTAAGATGCTGTGGATGCAAAACTCAACGGTGTACAGGCTGGATTCAGGGAAACTAAATCACGTGTTGATTGAATCATAACCGAGCACAGCACAGGGTGTCAGTCAAGTCTCTAACCTCAACTTCATCAATTTTGTAAAGGCCTTCGACAGGGTTGAGCGTGAAATAAATTGGAAACTGCCTCAACACAACGGAGTACCACAAATCCTTGTCAACCTCATTCAACAGATGTGTGACAGTCGGACACTCGATGAGTGTGATCACGCAGCAGCCTAACCCTCGAGAGGAAGGTAAACGGGAAACAGCGAGTTTGCCTTCCATCCTACGATGTAATTGAGGAGATCGTGTGAGGAGGAGATGAGAGACTATGGGCAATCGTAGCACCAGCTAATGAGTACTGCAGAGAAGAGAGTGAAATGGAGGTGTTCTGTTGAAACCCTGTGTTCAACTAAGAATCTGGGGGAATTACAGTAATAGTCTAATAAGTAGATGTCAGCCAAAAGTGAAAGAGGAAGGTCAAATGCCATATGGAGTAGAAATGTAGTGGTGAGAAGACAGAAAAGTGTTGTGACAGCAAACGACCCACATGTGTCCATGATCTTGTGAAGGTGTATCCCTTATACTGGCTATTTAGCTTGGATGCAGTGTCACACATAATCGTAGATATCAAGTGGCACCTGTTGACTCGTTTTGATATTGAACTGTTTTGCACTTTTGTACAAGATGGGTGTATCTGAAAGTCAATTTGAATGAAACTTGAATTCTTACATACCTACCTACTTACTCAGCTACTCACTTCCTTGTTGTACATATTATGATGCATAAATATAGTTTTGCCAGCTTTCATGTTCGTTGTACATGTGTAACACTTTTCGACGTTCACCAGATGGCCTCCCACATACTACCACTACTACTACTACTCTTTTGAAGGACTGTTTTTGATTGTTGCTATGCTGTTAAAACACAAAATTGGTGCACAGTATGGTTGTCTTGAGAGGCCACTCGCGAGTCTTTGATTTGAAGTCTGATTCGTCACAAGGCAGTGAAGTGGCGTCAGGAGGAGCTACGTTCCTATGGTTGTAGATGACCGAAGCAGGTTCATAGGCCATTTGATCCTTGCTTATTCTGGAGCTCATGTACACCATAGAATCAGAATCAGGGTTCTCCAGCTTCTCTGGGTAGAGTAGGGTATCTATTAGTTCAGTTGTGATCGGTAGACGTTTCATTCGCCCTTTTATACCTATGAGGCAGTGAATGGGACTTTCTTCGCAGAGGCTGTAAACGCTTGACCATATGAGAGGATTCCGAGTGGAAGATCGAGTTCTTCCTGCCTTCGATGGTGCCTGGTCGTTTATGAGGTAGTCGGGTGTGTAGACATCGAACTTCTTTAGAGTTGACTACCTGCCTCATTCCCATTGATTGGACAGGTTGTGTATAGTGTGATATAGGGAATGGCATCCTTTTTGTTAACACCAATCTCAGCGATAAGAAACTGCTGTTAAGCTTTCTGTGAAAATTTTCGATTTATTTAACTACTTACTCTACACCAATACCTATCATGAATGTGTCGAATGTTTGTTATTTATATTCCACTGTAGTCTACAAACGCCGGAGCTTATTATTTTGGTAATGGAGAAAGGCGAATGTGATCTGAGTAAAATTATTATTGAATATGCTTCTGAAGGAAGTAGCACAACGTCTTCATTCGTTGGTCGTATGCCGACAACAGCTGTTATACTCTACTGGGAACAGATGTTAAGATGTGTGAAAGAACTTCATGATCTAGGTAAGTTTGTTTACAATCTTTTCAAAAATCCTCTTCTAAATTTACTACTACCAATAATAATACTAAAGAAAACAAAAATCAAGCTAGTCGAATGAAATTTTGTTAGCAATTAACGAGGTGGTAGCACAATTCCGAAGCCATAATTACAGTTGGTGTTTGCCCTAACAAACGTCGAAATACTTAATGCATTATGATTGGATAATAATTACTACCTACCAAGTGTGCAATTGAAGTACTCATTAGGGTTCTACAGGAGGTGAATTGCGAGCTGGAATAACTCAGTGGTAATGTCTATGACTGTAGCACAGGATAGCCGGTGTCCCGGGTTCAGGTCTGGGGAAGCGCGTGAGTTCGTTGAAGATTGCAGATACACCTTACTGTAACGGTGGGTGCCAACAAACAGGAGACCTAGGCGGAAATCTTCGTACCGATTGTCGTCAACCATCTAACCACAGTACTGCATTTTTTTTACTAGTATTAAGAATTCGATTGTCTGTGGCCTTGCACAGTACAGTAGTGGTTGATATGTCTGTCGGTTGTCAACTTGCATTATTCAAGAAGTTTTGCAGTATCTTTAGCTATTTTGCTTGTATATAGTGATTTTTTTTCATTCCTTTACGTTCCCAGTGGAACATATGGCTTCAAGCTAGAGGCTTGGGCTCGCTAGCCTCATACCCAACCTCCCCTATTTACCGGTCTTACTACAGGTAGAGTGCGTCGGCCGGGGATCGAAACCCGGACCACTTGCGTGGTTGGCTGGCGAGCACCCTACCGCTGTGCCATCGACGCACGTATACAGTAATAGCAGTGTAATAATTTTTGAGTTTCATTTGAGCTGTTGTCCTGCTTCACTAAGCATATGATTTTATGATGTCTGTAGTCATACGGAGAAAAGGTGTATCTCATAGAGAAGAAGGAAGAGCAGGATCAGCCTAATTTCACAACCGGGTGACAGATTTTTGGGCGTGGTTAGGGGGGGGACGTAGGGAATATAGGTGAACTGGCTGGAAACCTACATGAGGAATATTTCACGACTTGGTGAAGGCTCCATTTGATTGCGCTGGATTAGAGATGTTTCGCTGTGATCGGAGTGTCCATAACAGTTGGCGTGTGAAGTGATGTTACTTATGGAGACCTATTAACACCATTTTTATTTAATTTAATTATATTTTGTTAGGTATTTTATTGTTGTTGTTTGAGTTGTGAATACCTCAGGGGAAATTACTTTGCTAATTCTGCTGGGAGAGGAGAATGAGCGGTTTATTCATTTACTGAAGATAACCTTCAAGAGTTACTTTGTAGAGATCTGGTTTGTTCAAATTTTCATCACGGAGTGTTGTCAGTTAGACGACAACGATTGAGAACCAGAGAGTATTGGACAGCTGTTTCATTCGCCTAGTTTGTGACTGTTCATCAGTACGCACCTGCAGGAATCGAACCAACGAATTTCAGGTTACGAGGCCAAATTCGTCAACCATTCAGTCAATTGGGCTGGAGTCCGATCGCCCATCAATTCTAACTTCTATCGATTGATGAGTTTCAGCTCTGCCGACAGCCAATATCATTGTCAAATATTTTGTCATCACAGTGAACTTCGTTGAACCTCATCAGTCACGACTTCTGACCTTTTCACCCGAAGGTTCTGGGTTCGGTCATTCCTAAGGGCAGACGGAACTAGGACGAGACAGATGTCCAGTACTCCCTAATTTCCAATGGTTCTCTAACTGGTGTCATTCTGTGATGAACACATGGAGCTGATGTGGGGGTTGAAATTGCAACTTTATCATGACATTTTAATCCGACCAACTGCATATTTAGCAGCATAATTTTTAAAAGCTTATCAACCTCTTAGTGTTATTGAATATTTAGTTTTCTCTGAGCGGTGGTTTGTGTGTCATGCATTTTAATCACTGCTTTTTACTCTTGCCTACTAGTAACTGGAGTGAGATTTTCCTATCCAGAACGCCTAACATGTTGCCAGTAATGTTGCACCATGCAGGCTGCCATAATCAAGATATATTCTATCTATGTCTGGTGGTATCATAAGAAAGGGGTAGATAGTTGAAGATTAGCACAGTGGAATATTATGGTAATATCAAGTTTCGGAGTCGTGTGATTATAACTGATATGATTATGAACTATAACTCGTGTTCGAAACCTTGTCATCCATTAATTAATACTGTTTCACTGTGATGTATCTAATAAACAAATTAATATGGAACATCACTGTCGATTGTGCTACAGGCGAAGCAGCGGTAGTATTATGATCTGCACTTATTTTCTATTCTGAATTGTGTCAGAGTTCTAGTGACCCGTCTTCATGTTGAAGAGTAATGAGGTATAAATGAATGGGGTAACTGAACATATGTAGTGATGTTCCTTGACGGTCTTATTTAATGGACAGATCAATTCTATGCAGCTTCCAGGTAATTTCAGTTAGTAGGAAGAACGATGAGTAGTTGTTCTCTAGGCATCTGAATGACACGGGTAACGTGCTCTATTACTAGTCTACTAGCCGATTCTCGTTTCAGTCTAGCACGTGTCATTTGGTTGGTTGTTGACCATTGGTGTAATTGGTTTCCATGGTGATACCACTAATATCCTCTCATTTTATAGCATGCAAGAGGCATTTTGTTACGACCGCCTTTATTATTTGTCATTTATTCCCTGAGATTCTGAGTTGAGCCTAGGTTCAAACAGAATATCTCCATTTCAACCTATCCCCTGCGTATTCTTCTTTATCTGATTCCACGATTACTCCTTATCTGTTTATCTCCTCCAGTCCACCATGGAATACATGCTAAATTCACCACTTGCCACCCAGGTTCCACTGTATAGTTGGTGTGGTGCGCGATGTCATTCAACAGTCCCCTGAACATGTACTCGATTCATCTTCGCTTTCTTTGTGATATTTGTTAGCTTATGAGTTCTTAGTTGGTCTGTTTCTAGAGTTCTTCTTTGATTATCTTCTCTGACTGGCCATCTGATCATCTTTAGTATGCAGTCAGCGAAGCGGACAGGTCAGCTAGCTGTTGATGAAAGTCATCAGTGGTCTGCGTGTTGGAAATACTTTCGATGACGCACACGCCAAGTCAGTCTCTGAAGCATATGATGAAAGCACCAAGTGACTTGACATTGGTGTTTAAAATCTGAATGTTGTTGTTGATGCTTAGTTGTGGAGTGAGACACTTGCACACTGATTTGAGATTAATGAATGTGAGCGGGTGGGTGGGTGTGTGTGTTGTCTTTCCGATCGTGGATTTGACATGTTCATGTGTTTTGGATGACTTTGGTTGAAACGATTATGGTGGTGGTGCTTGGTTAAGTGAGTGGAATTGGTGATGTGGTTGAAATGCCTATTGTTGTGATATTGACTGGTGGTTGGTTGTTGTTGATTGGTTATCTTCATCAGCAGTGTATTTTCTGTCTGTTGACTTGAAGTTGTGTATTTGCTGCCTGCCTCTTTGGCCAACATGTTGGTTTTCACAGTTGCCTTTATATTTGATCCTGTTGTTTTTTGCTTTTAATTTGTTGATTTGTTTGTTTCTTTTGATTTTTCAGGCATCGTTCACTTAGACTTGAAACCACAGAACTTTCTTTTAGTGGAGGGTCAATTAAAACTTAAAGGTTTTAAAGCTAGTCGGATACTACCATGCAAATCATCGACATTAGATGAACAGATGCATTTGGAAACTGTACCGTATATGAGTCCAGAAGAGTTGAAGAAGAGGTCAAAACGTAGACCGACATATAAATGGGGTTGTTTTTCAGAGGAGAAAAAGAATACTGAACTTAAGGTTCGTTGCAGCAATACTCATATATATGTGTGTCGTGATACCTCAATGTTGAATATGCGATTTTGTTTCGTGTTTTTTCCTTTTCATTATCCTATCATACTGTTTTGTGAAAGTATTGAATTTATCCTTGTAACCAGAAGGTCCTGGGTTCGAACCCCTGTGGACGCGTACCGATGAGGAGTCCCAAACTACGACGAAACAGCTGTCCAGTACTCCCAGGTGGTTTTCCAGTGGTTCTCTAACCAATATCAGCTCATGATGACAGTGTAACTCATAGATTTCTTGAAATTTCAAAATATGACCCGAATTGAAGGCCACGTACTTGGGAAAAACGAACCACAGCTCAATAATTGTTTTACATTCCTTTGAGTTTTGGCTGGAACATAGGGGTGGGTGTCCAGACTTCTTAAAACCTTAAGATTCCAGTGACTGTGGTGTTGGTTTTAAGGGCTGGAGTTGCTATGCTCACTTTCAAACTTCCCCTTTTCCCATACTATGCTCTATTTTCCACTATCAATGCAAGGAACAAGACGAAAGTTCTAAGTTGTGTATCCGATACACTGTGACATTGGATGGTTACTTTTCAAGACGTTGAGAAGGCATTTACTACTCGCTGATCAGAATGGGAAAACCAACTGCTATGCACATACTGCTGCTTTACTTTGTGCATTTTGGTAGACCGGTAGGTGCACAAAGCAGGTCTGCCACTTGGACCAACTTTGGACATGGAGGGATCACCTTACCATACGATTGCCAAATGGTTGTCCGAAATGCTGAAGCCCGTGAGACAACAACTCTGTAAGTACTCTGTACGAGATACTTTTGAATTTATTGAGTGCATAAAAGACTTGAATGTAAATGGCAAACGAATGTTATCATTGGACGTGGAATCGCTATTTACGAATGTGCCGCTCACAGACACAATTTGTTTCCTTTGCAAGTATATGGATGATAAAAATCTGAGTATCGGAATACCAAACTCATACCTGAGAGAGTTGTTATTAAGGTGCACACTCAACGTACAATTTACATTCAACGACGTCATCTATAGACAGAAAGACGGGATTGCTATGGGCTCTCCCCTTGGCCCACTTTTGGCAGACTGCTTCATGGCCAGCCTGGAAGACGGCATCTTAAAATTGCTGCTTTACTTTGTGTTAGAGAGAATTGGGTTAAGGGAGTGTTATAACTCCGTTGCCAATTTGTTGTAACTGAACTGAACTGAACTGAATAGACCCGTTGCTACTTAGTTATGTCTGCTTATGTCTGTTAATTACTATAATGGCAATGAACTCGACTGATATGCTAATCTGTCTATTTGTTCGTTGTGCATTCTGATTCACTGAGCCACGCAAATATCAAAAGACAAAGGCTGGTCTGTGACTGTAAGATATTGTTATTTTACTATACTATATAGTTTAAGAAACAACATATGGTATTTATACATTTTCTCTCCCATAATAAAGTCGACTGACGACCGTGGGAATGTTGTATTGTTCTTATTGGTTGGAAATATCTATCCTGATTGGTCGGTGGTGATCAGACAAAGAATGAGGTGAGACAAAAGACGATGAATTGGTGACACACACACACACACACACTAAATCACAATATGTGGGAGGAATGACACATTAACATAGTAACATCATCACATGATTAATCAGCTGATTCGTGAGAAGCGATGATATACTGTTTTATGCTGGGTCTTATCAGGCAGCGACATTAGTTAGTTATTTATCCTGTGGGTTTTTTTCCCACTAAAGACGGATACTGTTTGTAAAGCATATTAGGAGCACGAAAGTTTTTGGTGGTGTTGAGTATTCATGTCCTAGTTGTTTTTCGGTTACCTATTTGCATACTGTGGATTTCTGAAAGTGGTGACGATGACCGTTATCACTTTGTTTTGTTTTTTAACTCCTGTAGTTAATTAAAACATGTATTTCTTCGTTTATCGTGTAATGTGTTGACGCGAGAGTTGCTATTGATCACCGACTGAGCTTCAAAACGTGGAACTTTGCACAGGAATGCAAGATGGTCAAGTTGCCACACTGCATGCATCACTGAACAAGACTAGGCGAAAGAAATTCGAATGAATGATAGGGAGCCGATATGTACGGCAGAAAAAAGTAGCAATATGGAAAATCATAAGGATATAATGGAGAGAACGATTTTGAGCGAATTTATTCAAATAGCTGTACAATTGCATGTATATATAATTATTTTGTTTGTGTGTGTGTGTGTGTGTGCACATTAGTATTGTCAGACAAAAATAAAAATTAGTTAGGGTTATTTGCCGAAATGAGACGCTTCGCTGAACTTTTTTGCTCTTATATTTATGTCTGGATTGGTATTTTTCCGTGAATTAAAAATTAGCAAGGACGCTTTAACAGTGTAGGAACTTAGTGGGTTTCTGTGCTATTCTGTCAAGCTTGCTGAAGTCAATGTGAAGACTGATATTCTCAGAGATTGCCTAAATAACCATAAATATCCGAAGTGGCATTGGAAAGCTCTTCGTCGCAATCATATTTATCCTAACTCCAAATCTTCTAAACGTCCCACTTTGAACCACATCAATTCCATTCTTCCACGTGTCCCAGAACTGGAGGGAAACATAGTACAACGATTCTCTGCGTTATGTGTGTTGTCAAGTGATGAACGCCAAGCTCAAACCAACTGTTAAAGACCACTCCTAACTATCTTCCAATCCAAACATATATCAGCTAACATTACTCACCGAGGAAGGCGATGGTTGTTTCGGAATTCGCAACACATGACCTTGCCACCACAATCGATGCAGCTTCATAAGCTCATCAATCGACTTCTTTGTAAACAAATTTAAGTATCCTGAAGAAAAATAATCAAATCATCTGCTGTTTTTCCTTCAGAAGGTGGTTTATCCGCGAAGAATGACGTGGAGAAACATTGTCCTGGTCGTGCGTTTGCATACTCATAAACTGGTTGTTGGTCATGAGGATATTTTTCGACTGGCATTGGACTCCTTTGAAACTTATTTGGATGTTAGCGTTTCTTGTATTTATTTATTTATTTATATAATTTTCCAACTTTCTGTGAGCACTTTTGTTTTCTTTAAAAGATTGGTAGGAAGTCTGATGTCTGGTCGTTGGGCGTAATCCTGTATCTGATGGTTTATGGGAAGACACCATTTTCACAGAAAACAGTAGAAGCACGTATGCAGGCAATAATCAATCCAGCTATGAAAATCCCTTTTCCAGTTATCAACAATAATTGGTTTCAAAAAGTAAGTGACTGACTCTACACCTTTCACTGACAGGATCACAAAAAAAGACGCCAGAAGGATTGTCAGAGTATCATTAGTATTATTATTACTATTACCCTCGTGGATTCAGAGTGTAACACAGGGCTTCAACAGAACATTTCCACTTCGACCCTTTAGGCTGGTCTCACGATTGCCTACAATCTGATAGAATCTTATTCTTCCATATTAATTTGTTTATTAGATATATCGCGTAGTGAAACAGTGGTGTCTACTAGATGACGTTTCGAGCACAATTTATTGTTCCTAATTATGTGTCAGTTATAATCACACAACTTCAAAACTTTCATTTTATATTTTTCTTTGTTCTCTCCTATTTGTTTTAGTTGGGGTAGTAGAATTTGCCATATGTCCGGCTAGACAGGTGTTGAACCATTCCCGTTACACGTGTTTGCAGTGGATTTGATGAATAAAGCTTCTGTTATCATTCTCACTCTTCACTCTGTTACACTAGATTTTAAAACTGTCATCTTATTCCATCATCCCAATGTATGGTTGTGTGTAATTGCATCCAGTCAGTAGCATAGCTGGACTATTCTCCAGATTTCTTATCTTATTCTGGTCCACTAATCTAGATTTTGCTGGCTTTTGTGCTCCGCTAGTCTGATTGACTGACCTGGTTCTAATACTTTGCCGTTTGTATTTTACCTGACAATCATTCCAGCAGAGTACTACATAAACTAAGTTGTTTTGTTTAATTGACCCCACAGGGTCCTTGAACCGGTAAAGCTTATTTCTAATTGAGGTAATCTTATTCTGTCCAAACGGCAGTTTACGCCCAAGTCAAACCCTGACATTTGTTGCCTCTAGCATGCATGCATGCATAGTCAGTCGCTCTCTCAAATTCTAATCCCGTTATCTCTTCCATCCCACAAATTAGAAGTGTGAACATATTTATTTTTGAACGTTGGTATGTTCTTCAGTAACACCAGCATTCTGATTTGAGTTTTAATCGGGCAACAAATTTGCGAACTGCGTGTGTGTATGTGTGTGTAACGAATAAACTTGTCCATCGTTGATTGGTTACGAGTATTAGATTGGTGAATTATTCTCACGAGCTCTGCGTGATGTAATGGCATATATTTCTTGATCATTTCTCCTCCTTGAGGAATATTTCTTTGGGTGTGTGCGTGTGTGTGTCACTTTCTTTCTGTCTATCTGACTGTGTTTTACTGAAGTATAAAGTATTAACTGTGTGGTATGAATTTGTGACAGCTGGACGCCTGTCGTCAGTTCCGTCAGTTAAATAAGGACACTAAGGTAGGTATTCCAAAGAAGTAAAGCAACACAGCATTTTTTGGCGTTTATTGTGTGCAGTAAATCAATCACATCCGTGAACTGTTGTCGGATCAATTTGTAAGGGTAATTATCTGTGAGAGTGAAGCTTTTTCTACTCACTGTATGTTGAAGAGATATCTGTCTAAGTTGCTGCTGCTGCTGCTGGATTCAATATAGAACTTGGCACCGAAGTGCAGAAGTTCGAGTTGCCACGTTCCAAATAGCACACAAAGGTAGACAGGAAAATCAGTGAAGAGAATCAATAGAGTTTTGACAAGTATAAGAGTGAAACAGAATGAGTAATGGTAGAAAGGAATATGAAGGTTAAAGAGACTGAATACATCTGCGTAAGCCATTGACAACGATTTTGAGCCATGTCACCTATTGTCTCCAGCCATTGATTCTTAGAGTCCCGAGGGCCCCAACCCGGAAGTTTGCATCTCCCTACCTGACTCAGTTTAACTGTCAGGGATTTCATGGATTGATGCCATGTTTTTGTTTGGCCATCACTTACTCTTTTCCAACCTGCACCTATATTAGCTAGTAATGCTCGTCGGGGGAGACGATGGTTAGGCATGCGTAGCACGTGACCTAACCATCTCAATCTATGTAACTTTATAGCCTCTTCGAGTGATTTTCCCTCTCTGCCCAACACTCTACGCCTAACGTCAACATTACTTACCTTATTATACCACCTAACGTGAGAAAGAGATCGTAAACATCTGTGGTCAAAAACAGACAATCTCTTCATGTCTTCCGCTCTCAATGGCCACGTTTCACCGCCATAGAGGAGGACGGAGTGAACTGCTGAGCAGTACACGCGTCCCTTGGTTGACAGCCGGATGTCACGCCTACTCCAGAGACGGTGTAAGTTAGCGAAAGCAGCCCGAGCTTTCTGGATCCGTGCTGTGATTTCGTCACCAATCAATCCGTTGGTGCTGATACAACTTCCCAAAAAGGTGAAGTGGTCAACATGTTCTATCACTTCACTCCCTATCACTAAGATAGGAGTTGACGTAGTCCAGTCCTGTAGCAGCATCTTGCATTTCACAGGGGCGAATCGCATGCCAAACATACGAAGATTGCTGCTCAAGGTGTTCAGAAGAGTCTGCATTTTGTCAGCGTCCTCCCCTAACAGGACTATGTCGTCTGCGTATTCTAAGTCTATAAGACTATTCCCTGGTAACAAGTCGATTCTTAAGTCGTTAAGTTCAGTTAAGGATACTTCCATTAGCATATCTATGATGAAGTTAAACAGAAAAGGGGAAAGTGGACATCCTTAACGGACACCACTGGTTGTTATCAATTCAGATGACAATTCCCCATAAGCCCTTACACAGCTACGTGAGTTTGAGTAGAGTGCCTTGATTAGTGCAATGTACTTTCTAGGCACTCCCTTCATAGTCAAATATTGCCATAGTACCTCTCGATCCACGGAGTCGAAGGCCGCCTTCAAGTCAAGAAATATGGCAATTGTTGGACGCCTAAAAGTGTGTCTATGTTCTAGGATCTGTCGGGGAGTGAAGATATGATCTATGCACCCTCTACCTGGCCTAAAGCCCACTTGATTTTCCCTCGTTTGTTCCTCCCGAGTTCGGCTTAGTCTGTTCATGATTACTGAGCCTAGGATTTTAGAGACTATGTTCGTTAAGCTGATCCCACAATGATTATCACATGAGGACTTGTCTCCATTCTTGAATATTGGAATGATAAGTGACTCACCCCAGTCTGATGGAACCGTCTCTGATTCTCAGACGTTACCTAGTACCTTGGTTAAACTATATACTAGTGTGTCACCCCCATATTTAAACACCTCCGGAATAATTCCGTCGGGTCCTGCCGCTCTGCCTCGTTTCAAATTACAGATAGCTTTGGTGACCTCACTTACAGACGGCGGGCCAGTGTCTATGTCCCACTCGGGTGTGTGCTGGATGGCGGGGAGGCTCAGTGTGGCTGTAGGCAAGTTAAACTGTTCCTCGAAGTGTTCTTTCCAGCGTTCGAGGCGTCTATCCTGTGAACTAATTAAGGAGCCATTTTTCTCACAAATAGTCTCACTTATGATTTGCCTTCTCCCACCCGTTTCCCTGATGAGTCTAAAGAGTTGCCTAGTGTTGCCTATCGCCGATGCTTTTTCCATCTCTTTCGCCTTTGTCAACCACCACTGTTCACGGTCCTTGCGGAGACTTTTCGTAAGTTTCCTTTTGTGCAGCTTTCGCTCCTCATTGAATTCGGAGCTCGCCGGAATAAGTCTTCTGGCATCTATCAGTTCGGATGAGGCAGTCGAAATCCAATGGTTTTTACTCACCTTTGGATTTACCTTATTCACAGCTTTTACAGCTGTATCAATGGCTGATTGAATATTCTTCCAGGCTTCTTCAGGGTGAGCGCAGCTGTCGAACTCAGATATGTGTTTAGCTAGTTCTTCCTCAAATAGGGACTTAGTTTCCTGATCTAGCTGGGGACGTGATGGCTCTGTCTAAGTTGCTGAAACTCCATTTCTCCGTCTCTTCCCTTCCCTCTCCACCCCCAAATACCCATTGGCTTTACTCCTCAAGTGATTTTTAAGTATTGGTTTTGCAGGGATTTTGTTCGATTGGTTGGAGGATTTCATCATGAGTAGACATCAGTTAGAGAAGCATTGGAAAACCACCTGGGAGTAGTGGACAGCTGTACTTCTGAAGATTCCCAAACTAGGACGAAACAGGTGTCCATTACTCCCAGGTGGTTTTCCAATGGTTTCCTAACTGATGTCAGGTCAATCTCCAACCAATCTTGAAGTGATTATTTGGCGGTAGGCGGTGGCAGGTAGGTAGGTAAGAATTATTTTTTAATCAAAACTCCGTAAGAAGCATCAACTTTTTCACGTCTTTTATACTTAAGCTTACATAGAAGCGTAATTAATTATACCATGAGGTTTATGCACAATTGTTTACATCTTTGTTTTTGTATCATTACTACTTTCTTAAAGGCCTTGGAAGAATGTTTATCTCGAAATTATCACGAACGTCCTACTGTCAGTGACTTATTAAATTATGAATATGCTCCTAGTACCTATGTTACGGACGATTAATGGTAGGTGTTCTGTTTTAAATCGTGTTTCTGCCTTTTTCTGTCCTATGGAATTTATCAACACTGTAAGAGTCTATTTTTACTTAGCAGTTTTATTTTATTATTGTTATTATTACCCCCACGCGTTCCGAGTGGAACATAGGGGGGTGGGTGGGCTTCAACAGAACATTTCCACTTTGTCCTATTCCCTGCGATACTTTTAGGCTAGCCTAACGATTACCTACAGTCTGTCATCTTCTTCTCCCCACACGATATGGCCCATGTCATCCTCGGACCAACGCCCAACTCGTCGTTTCCAATTCGGGTTCCGCTGGAGCAATGCCCTGGGGCGTGATTTGTCAGATCCATCTCCACTTTTTTTTATACATATTTGTTGAGCAATGGGTTCTTGCTTGGTTCATTTCCAGGGGGGTTTTGTTGCTAATTCTTTCTGGCAGGCCATTCCTTCTTCCAGATGGAGCCAGCAAAAGCTGTTGTTAATAAAATTCTGAAATGACCTGTTGGAAGTGCTTTTCATGAAGCTGACGCCGAGTTTCTGACCAGTATAGAAGAAAAATGACGGACTCAGACATTTGTGTTGAAAATCGGACTTTTGTTCTTTATGCATAGTGTCCCAGGTTTCCAGATTCATTTCAGGGAAATAAAAGTCTGTCTTGCCTTGCAGATTATGGTTTTGACATCCTCGTATATACCGCCGCCTGTAGTTGAAACGGTGTTTCTTAGATTAGTGAAAGAAGTGACATCTTTCAAATTTATTCCGTTGATAATGTTTAGTTGTTGTTTTTGTTGTTGTCGGTTGGTTGGTTATCTTCATCACTAGTGTCTTCTGTATGTTGACCTGAAGTGGTGTCTTCGTTACCTGTCACTTCTGCCAGTTTTTTGGTTTTAGCCTGCCTCTAAGTTTTCGAGGTTTTGTGTAACATTAAACATAAATGATACGCGAAATCCAGATCTTCTAGAGTTTTCGTATCGGTTAGTACAGCATATTCCTGTCGCCTCGCTCTCCAAATACGGTGTGACGCATAATCCAGTCGACCACAATTAGGGATATCATTGATAATAACAGGCAGCCAGCTTGTCTTACTCCTGTATTCACATTGAACTCCTCGTCGAGGTTTCCATTGGGGGATCAGCTGACACGTGACGTTGTCATAAAGCTGTTGAATAACGTTGATAAAGATTTGGGGCACTGCAGTCCATAGGGTTGAAGTAGTTTGCAAATTATTTAACGGTCAGCACTGTCGAAAGCCTCTTCGAAGCCGATGAAATTGATGTAGAGATTCCGAATTGTGTTTAATATTGCATATATATATGTATATATTATTAGTGTATGCGTATATTGATCGATTGATTTTTGTTTAAAATGGACTCTGTGCAAGTATGTTAAAATTGTTTTTGTAGATACATTTAATAATGTCTTTGCCCTGTGAGCAGCTGACGAGAAAGCAACGAAATAAAAGATGGTACCATTTTATTCTGCTAAAACTGTAGTTCTTGCTTTATTCAAATTCATTAAAGGGAATAAATGTATAACTTACTTTTGTTTGGCTTTCGTATTTTTCTCACAGATATTGTCACATTCGGCGACTGGAACGAGTGTATCTTGTATTGTTTGTTTGCATTGTGTACCTGTTTAGTGTCTTCTTTGTCCATACTTTAAACTCTGTCTACGTCATCATATTTCTCTGTTGTAGGTGATTGAGTTTTCGCTAAAGAAATCTCCAGATATGACGACCATTACAACGTCAAAGCTTCTCTGTGATAACTGTGTTGTTTTATAATTATTTCAAGGGACCAACTAAAATTCTTATGGGGTCTTTCAGGCGGTTGTTTATTATCATCATTATCATTATTAATAATATTTTGTACTTGTACTTTTATTTTTATTACTGTTATTTTCAAAACGATGAGTGTTTTTACTGTATCGTGTGTACATAGCATCATTAACAAGAATAATAACCTCTGTGAAACAACATGTGCTTGTTGCTTTCTTATGTGGATGTATGTGTCACTGCTGGCTAGCGTTTTTGATAAAGGTCGTGGGACAAGCTTCTGAATAGGCGATGTGTACCTCTTCCCATTTGAAAAGACGTCACCGTTCATGAATTGATTGTGTCCTAAGACGTAACACATAAGCTCCTACAGTGTTTTTATAAGTAATTCTTTCTTGGTTAGTTTCCTTTCTTCTAATGAGCAACGCATGGAGGTGTGATTTTGATGGTGCACGAAATAGACCTTTTATCCAATCAGGCAGAGAGAGAGAGAGAGAAAGCATTAGATGGATTAATCTGGACAGTATGCCGAGAATTTTCATATAGTAAAGTGATCATAGTGTTAGACGAAGAGGAAGAGAGTAGTGTAACAACTAGCCTGAGGGACAGGGTGCACCAGGCCATCGGAATGGTAAACACCAAGGAGGGCGTCTGATTGTGACATGAAAGAGATCGTGTAAGGAGAGAGTAAACGATGAAGAAAGGACCTTCTTTGAGCCATCTAAGAGAAAGAGAGAGAGAGCAGTGAAATTGAGGTGCGACGCGGCTGAAGACCTCTTTGCCACTCACAAGTGAAGTGAATGGTGATGATAATAACAACAACAGAACTGGTCAATCAGGTAGGTGGTTATTTTGAGGGGAAAATCAGAATAGTTTAACTTGTAAGTATGTGGAAATCGATGAAGTCACTCTGCGATCGAGTCGAGTTATTCTAACAGGTTTCGGAGTTCATATGTTGGGAGGGTTGGACGTCGTCTCGATGAGATGTTGGAAATCACTTTCTGTGATGCAAGTTTACCATCATCAGTGACCATGTGTAGTTTGTTTATTCGCTGTTCGGTGATAATTGTCATTTGTACCGGAATGAGTCGTCTTGACGTGGTTATAATTGACACTGAACACCGTCCCTTCCGATGAAGACAATGTTGGAGTTTGTAATATGCTGTGGGGGTTACAAAGGTCGTGGAGGTGTTATGCTTCTAATTCGGTGATATACTGCTCTAATAACTGAGTGTAGTTAGACGCGTTGTGTGTAGTTTCACTATCTGAAGAGAAGAGATCTGACAGTGGTTTCACGTACCAGTTCAGAAACACAGCATGGAACATCACTCCTTGAAATATCACTTGTGTCGGGTAGTATTAATTGGAGTTTGATAGAAAGACTAGTGACTATTAGTCCGAGTAGCGAGAGTTGCAGCTGTAATTTGTCGGTGTAATTGTCCCTCTATGCCATTGATTATAGCATTGGTACACATTTATTCCCTTGAGGTTCGGTGATTGCTGCTAAAATTGGTGGCCATAATGGCTGCATATTTCTATCTGTGGTAACATTGGGTGCGTTGACCTTCAGTTTAAGTTGACACATGTGCTTGGGAATCTACTCCAAGCCAAGGATTGAGCCTGTCTCAATATGTGGGAACATCATTGAAGATGTCGAAAGGAGGCAGTATAAAGAGGTGGGAGGACGAGCGAGTTGCATATTTGTGTGTTGTGATAGTCCCTAACTATTCGACAAGATGAGGAAGTTTGTGTCCACTACACAGTGTGTCACTACTTCTTGGATTTGATAGCTTAGAAAATTTGTTTGTTTCTCCTGTCAGTGTTGTGAGGATAAGAAGTAGGTATTTCCCCTCAGATGTTTCACCAGGGGCATACTAATTAACTGTGCCAAACAAGATTACTAGGAGAAAAGAGGATGATGCTTTTATTTGAAGACACAAAGTTCTTACCGTCTTTTTGAAGGTGAACGGAAAATTCACATTTGAGTCATTTAGAAGAAGTCACAGGAGCAAAAAGATAATTCTGCCTTTCGACGAATCATTTTTACAGAGACAAGATAAGCACTTCAGTAGGGAATCTCTTTTCAACGATTTCACTTCCTATAGCTGCATAATGCCACTTGCACAGAATTTTGTCTTCCGTAAAATTGAATGTTAAGAAAGTGATGAATCATCATGAGGATAGTTGCTGATATTAATCAATACGTGTGAGAAGTTGGATAAGGCGGTGATAGGATTACGCAATGAGTTAAATAATTCAAAAAGTGAGTTGTAGTCAGGATGCAGATAGAAACAGAAGAAATTTTATGTTGGGTGAGAGAGAGATTCGGGTAGATGGGTGAGTCAGAAAAAATCCTTTCCAGGAAAGTGGAAGTGGATGAAAGGTTTTCGTTTGTCAACTGTACAACGCTATTAGTTTAGGTCTACATATATTGAAGAGAGAGAGAATTCATAACACCAATCCGATACTGGTTGTAATTGTGTTCCAGTAAATGTGCCCACGTATTGTGAGTTTCAAACTAGGAGGGAATGAGTGAATGAATGGAGATTCGATTAAGGGAAGTTGAAATTGCGTGATAAATGTGGGAAATAACCTAATCATCACAATCTGATTGTACATAATGAAAGAAGAAGAAGAAAGCTGGTGGAAATATGGTGAACTGTTTGTTCAACAATAATGATGATAATAATAACAAGTTATAAACTAAGACGTGAAACTCTATAAAAAGAAACAGAACTATGGAGAGAATGTTACTCTGTCGATTGTACGGCGAGTGAGGATATGTGTGAAATGAATGCCTAGGTCCAGTCTCAGGTGCTGAATTGCGGGTGATTTAACTATGCTTGCATGGTCCCATTGTGCAATATTGTGGAATTCAGACAAAGTTCTCGTTGATCTCTGTCCAGAGTTAATACAGTGCTCGATTCTAGGCCTCTTGAAATTCCTCCTTCCCATTCCACAGGATCAGAAGTGACAGTGTTTCAACATACCTCAGTTGACTCAACACTGTGTACAGCGCGTGTACTTTGCGTCACAGCTGTGTGAAACACTACCTTGTCGTTCACACCAGACTAGATCAATTGTCTTCTGGAGAATCTGATTCGCGAGCTACCTGAATTGAATGCATATTTCGAACACTTGGAAAGGCGGCTTTGAAGATATTTCGCTTGAATATCATTTCTGAAGTGCATGTGCCTGAGAAAAGATGTCTTATAAGAAGAACACCAATCAACAATATTTACGGGGATTCTCAAACGT